AAGGTGTTTTCAGTTCTCTGCCAAACCCCAAGTGAGGTATTGGGATGAATCTCTCAGCTGAGCAAAACACATCATTGACAAACCTATCTTAATGTTGATGCACATCTTTATGCAGATCTTAGATGTCAGGAAGACAGCAAAATTGTCATCGCCTATTTCTATCTTTGAAGTGTCTTGCATATTAAAAATGATGTATCGGTACAATCATGTCTTTAGAGTAGAATGCCTTTTGTTTATTCAACTCTTCAATTGGAAGGAGTGAATTACAGAAAATAATGCTTTTGTGTTTAAGTACCTGACAGTTGCACTATTTGTTGTGTTTTTTTAACAGCTCCTCTAGTGAAGATTAAACAAGCCTTAACAAAACTGAAGCAGGAAACCACTCAGATGGACATACAAATTCATGTAATGGAACACACATTACTCCAGTCCAAACTGAAAGAGAAATCCAATATGACTTAGAGATACACATGCAACAATGATTCTGGAACCCACAGTAGGTGCCTGTTAAAACTGTTCAGAGCTGACTTGGTTTTCCCAAAATACAGTTCGGTACCATTTGCTTTTTTGTTAGTTAAGAGGTTTCCTTCTTCTTGAGGGAGGGGGACATTCTTTTTTCTTGTTTGTTTTTAACAAGATGGTTGTCATGCACTTTTAAGAAGTAATGTGCACACTTTGGACTCAACATGGAGCCATGTTTAGTTTTGTGCTGTAAAGATTTACTGCGGATCCCTTCCAAATATACTAAGAAATTCTTATTAATGAGCATGTCTCTACTTCATTGGAGAACGTTATGTGGTGTGAAAGTCTACAGAATGATACTGACAGCCTGTAATCTTGATATTCTACAATGCTGAAAGAAAATTGCTTGCAAAGGGCTTGAAAGGAATTTAAAATGTCTCTTATTGCCACTTACATACATTTAGTATAAAGTATTTAATTTATGATATTGAAATTATACAGAATTACCTTTCTAAAAGGCTGGGTCAAAATTGGTATCAGCTGCAAGTAAAAGTAAATTGTTGCTTTGAATGGAAGCTGTACACAAATTTGTGAGGGACAACCACCCTATTTCTCTCTTTTTTCTTTTTCTTTTTTTTTTTGTCCTTTGGAATCGTCCTGTAGACAGAGCAGTATGGATTTTTGTTTTGTGATTTTTATTTTTACATTGCCTCTAACAGAAGCAGTGATAACAAAACCTATATAAGACCAAAGAATGTGGAAAGTACTGTTTAGAGGTTGCTGTTGGATTTCTGATTTTTTTCTGTGTCATCACTGTTTCAGAGTCACTTTATGTTAGCACTGGATCAAATGCTGCTCTCATTTGTAGTACGTAGTAGAGCTCTGTGGACATAATTTGGATTATTCTCGTTTTCTGTTCTTGTGTCAGAACACCTAATTTTGATTTGTTGAGGAAAAATGTTGCCAAATCTAGTTGTGTAATACAGAATGACAATAAAAATGTAGGAGGAAGGAGTTGGAAATGTAATGGCAACAAGGAGCTCGCTTTGTCTTGGTAAATGTGTAGGTAGGGAGTGATTCTAGACATTATTGGA